GAATTAGCAGAGAAAAACAAACTGTAATTTAAATTTAGCGACACAGCGGCGACCAATAGTATTCGAGCCGCTAACCATCTTGCAACGTTGCTAAAAATGGCTCAAAACGACAGCTGTCTTCAACAGTTCAACGACGTGCAATTGATCTTTTGTTTGGACGCCATATTGCGGTGCGCGAACATAGTTGCCAAAAGAAGAAAACAAAAATTACTAGCGGGCTGTCAACATTAAAAACAAAAGTAACTAATGGCGATTTCCATTTGTCAATCAGTGCGCACTGAGTGTATCCGCATCTTTTTCCAAAAGCATGTAACATGTAAGGATAAGGATTAATTTTTTGGCGATTTCCATTTGTCAATCTGTGCGCACTGAGTTTATCCGCATCTTTTTCTAAAAGCATATAACATGTAAGGATAAGGATACATTTTTTTTGCACTGGTTCGACAAATGGAAAACGCTATAAATGATTGATCTTCACTATCCTTATTATTTCTATTCTGTCCAATACAAGATAAAATTGATGGCTTTTCTTTTCAAAAACCAATGAACTATAGCAAAAACTGGAATGCGCATACATTGCCATATTTGCCAAAAAAATGTAGCCATGAAAGACAGATGCAACAAAGGAGAATGTTGTTTTTTTCTGTTGCTCGCTGACATATGACGTTTTGGAAAATTTTGTCATATTTACCTTCACAGGGTTCATCAATTGGAATACGTGTTGGAAGCAATTTCCGCCATTTAACATAATGAGTGCGACAAAAACAGGCATCCAAACATTCGTAATAGGCGGCAAATTTAAATTTCAAATGTAATTTATTGTAACTTTTGTTTTTAATGTTGACAGTACGCTAGCAATTTTTTTTTCTACTTTTGGCAACTATGTTCGCGCACCGCAATATGGCGTCTAAACAAAAGGTCAATTGAACTATAAACTACACGTACCTGGAATGGCCTGTCGATCTATAAATTTGCGGCAGATTGAGATGGAGAATGTGGGGTACACACATCTCTATTTATCTTATTGGCGAATCATGGAAATCTTTCCTTGTCTAAAAAATATTTTATTCGAGGTTAGGAATATGCCAAACCTAACAGCAAAGAAACTGGAGAGAGAAAGGGATACCCCACTATGTAGCTTTTTTGGACGCACTAAGCGAGTTGACAAATGCCATATCCGACAACGGTCGGTGCCATTCCAGATACGTGTAGTTTATAGTTCATTGACGACGTATGGTGTCGTGTGAATCGTGTGACATATTATGACATTGTCACAGTAACTTGTTAACAATCTTGTTAAAGTTGTTTGATGTAGTAAATTTGACGTTTCGTATATCAGTGCAAATCAATGAACTATAGTCAAAAACTGGAATGCGCACACATTGCCACATCTTCCAAAAAAATGTAGCCATGAAAGACAGATGCCACAAAGGGGAATGTTGTTTTTTTCTGTTGCTCGCTGACATATGACGTTTGGAAAGTTTTGCAATATTTACCTTCACAAGTTTCATGAATTGGAATACGTGTTGGAAGCAATTTCCGCCATTTAACATAATGAGTGCGACAAAAACAGGTATCCCCTCCGCAGCAGCGGCACTAGGCTTCACGTTCGTCAATATGTGTTCGCATTCCAGTTTTTGGTTATAGTTCATTGGTGCAAATTGTGGGTTCTCAAAACCGTGATGTGTTGCCAGATTGGAAAAACTAACTACGTCACGAATTTTTATTTTCACGTAGGGGCGGGGCTAAGAGGAAATTAAAATAAAAAAATTCCAGGATATTGCGGTTTCTAGAAAGCAATTGATTACACTAAATAGTACGATACGTCGAGTATATCACTACGCAGTAGCTAAAAATCACTTGTATAAAGTGCGACAAGTGAGTGAACCTTGGTAACGTATGAAGTAACAGAGGGGAAGACGAAAACCTATACTATACGACGCGACGGGTCCTCGACGTGGTGCATTGCTAAAATTGCGGTTACCCTGACGCGACGACCCGCGTATATGTATATTTAATCTCGGGCCAATCAGGAGGGTTCTGCCCGCATTCCTTCCACACAGGTTCACTCACTTGTCGCACTTTACTACCCCATTAGGGAACGCCACAGTGTCAATAGTGTCAAAAGTGTCGACACTTTCTACCATTCCGATCTCAGCTAGTTTTTCTACAGAGGTGTGGAAATAAAATAAGTGCATATACCTACATGATTCGTAGTAACTTATTGATTTTTTTTTTGACAGCCGTGCGGAAAAGATTTTTTTCTACAAACGTCACTAAAAGTGTCATTTTTAACGGTTGCTGTCAGTGTCTAAAATGCCATTTTATGACACTGGTGTTAAAAGTGATTACTTTTAGCACTTGTGCTAAAAGTAATCACTTTTAGTGCGTTTGTAGAAAAAATAGTGTCTGATATTCGTGCTAAAAGTGATTTTATTTTGTTCAAAGAGATGGAAATGCAATTTTCCTCACTCTTATAGAAAAAAAAAATGTTTTGAAGGCTCAAAATAAAGGTTTTTGGGCGTGGCACCCAGGCTGGCCTGGGTTGATTACCTCCCCCCCAGACGTATGGGCTGGATACGCCGGTGATGGTTGGTGTATATATTAGCAAATAATGTTAGTAGATTCTCATCTAGGAAATATGCATAAACTGGTTTATCATCATGTGGTAAATAGTCTCTTATAAATTCAAATATCAATTTAGGATCTTGTGGTATTTCACAATTACTGATATTATGATTTTCAAAACGATCGACGGATACTTTGATCTGTAAATGTGGATTTTTCTTGAGAATTTCATACATCTGTCAAAACTGGTATTCCAACAATAAATTGGCATGTTTTAATTGTTGATTTGAACCAATCAGATTGTAATAACGCGATAATTTGCACTAGTGCAAATTATCAGATAATTGCATACTAACTGGTGTGGATGTTGAATAAAATAATTTTGAATTCCTATTTTTGGCGAATGCGCCAGTTATTATAATATATTAATATTCTGTTCCTTAAAATTTATTATTATGTATTGAAAGCTAGGACCTACGGAAGAAATTTATTTTGTAAAGTTGTAAAATGTCATTCTATCCTTGTTTAACACGTTGATGTGCATTTCACACATACGTTTGCATTTTGAAGTATTGTAGGTCGAGACTAGAATAAGGATGTGGCTGTAAAAACTGTGCTCAGAATTTTCCTCTATTTCCTAATATAATTTAAAGTAATTCAACTCGGTATTTTATTTAAAAACCAGCTAAACCCAACATAAATATGTATACCAAAAATGAACTCAAACGGACTCAATCGGAACTTCTACCCTGTTCCCGAGAGCCCAAACTAAGAATGCGGAGTTGCCATATCTCTGAATGTGTATGACCTTGAAGGGTAAAACTCGGTATATAGGTTACTTGAGATGCCTTTCAACACTATACAATTTTTCAGCACGTTTTAAACTGCCATTTACGTGAATTTGATGGTCAAGGTCAATTTTTTTTTGGAAAAATTTCTTTTCACGTCTTACCTATATATGTGTACTAAAAATGAACTTGATCAGAAAACGCCTTATAGCCCGTTCCCGAGAGCCCAAAAATTACCTTTAGATTTAATATCAACATACAAGGACTCGCACACATTACGTGAACGGGTTAGTTTGCATACTTTTGGGTAGTTTGAGTTACATTTCGTTCAATATCTACTGATTATAATATCTACTGGTTTAATATCTACTGGTTATGTGTAGGTAATAGGTAACTTGCACATTTTTTTTTTATTTCAAAAATGTGTTACACTACACTAAAGACATAGTCATGCCAAATATCAAGCATTAAAAATCAGCCGTTAATTTTTTATAAATATTTGAACTTACGCTCGAAACATCGCCATTTGAAACGACCGATTAGTGTGACGTCACTGAGCAACAAAATTCCGTTCACAGTTCTTGGTTGACAGTAACCTGCGAGCAGGTGGATTTAGATTATGGTTATGTTGTTATGTATGCCGTTTAATGGCCGTTTATGATAGATTTGACAGTGACAACACCAGCAGCACATGGTGTGACAGCGGCGATTCTTGTGGCAGCGGTGCGACCCGATTATTACTGCCCTTTGACGTTGGCAACATGTGTATGGCCGACCAAATGTTAATTTTTCAATATTCGCCTTACTCAATCGTTTGGTGGTCTTTGGTATCCCACTTTTAGTATTTGGTGGTAATTACTTTTTAGGCAGTAATTAACAATTCAAAATTTCATATGACGTTGGCCGACATAACCTGATTCTAATTTATTTTTTGGCCCATTATTTATAGTCAAATCGAACGGAAATCGTTTGGTGGTCACGAATTTATCGAATTTAACGTTTGGTAGTCAATAATACCGGAGATATTAATCAATTAAGATTGTTTTCTGATATATTCTAATTATTCGTCGCGCATGCGCATATATTATCTGTTTTTCATTGAGCCGCCTCGATCGCGGCGTTGCCTACCTATTCTATAATTTTCAATCAAATCAATTATTTCATTACAATCAACGAATAATTAGGTAGGTATCTATACTTATTCGAATACTGAAAATAGGTATACATCGTGATTTACTTAGCCCGTGCATTAATAAGAAGTTTTTTAGGTTGCAAGTGGATTACTAGAGATAGCATTTGATCCAACTGCAATCTTATTCACGGGCTACGTGAGGCATTCTCCTGTATAGGAACAAAATGCAAAATTGATATATTCCTTCCTTAGCTTGCAAAAATCTTTAATTGATTTAGAGATTACCCTGATCGGCAGCAAGCAAACTAACCCAAGTCTTTGTGCAAGTTTGGAAAATACGGTTGATAATGTTGATAAGTATTGATGATAATAATTCATGATCAGCCAACCACTCAAGCATACAAACTTCGAAAGTCTAGTCTCTGAGGGGTTTTTTCAATGTTTTTCACAGGAATACAATTAAGACGAATGCATCCACCGTACATAAGAGTTAAATTTATTATAATTATTATTCAAATAGTTCGATGATTTTCTACGTCGTATTGCAGTTTAATTTGAAAAAGTGTTGTTTCCTTGAATAAAAACGAATGTTTGTATTTTGTATGTGTATTTAATGAATTTACAGAATAAATTGGTAGAGTATAAATAAATAAATAAAGCGTTGGCCGTTGGGTGCTGCACCTAAAAAATGAGAAAAATCCTACAATTTTTATTTGCGGTAGGCATTCCTTCTACGAAAAAAAAAAATAACATTTTTACAGTTAATGTAAAAAAATAAAAAAAGTTTAATTATCAAAAAAAAAATATACATTGTATATTATACCTAATTCTCAAAAAAAAAAATATATAACATAACATATTTCATTAGATATTTTCTCGGCTAAATGTTTCAAAAAAATTGCTCGATACTTCATTTTGGTTCCAAAAATTTATAGAGTAAAACCATTGACAAATGAAAAAAAAAAAAAATAGTTTCTAACAAGCTTGAAATCCAAAAATGTGAAAATATACAGGGTGTTCCATTCAAAAATTCAATTCGCAATATATTTTTATTACTTCTTCAGTTGCAACTAAAATATATTATATAAAATGTTTGTTCCAACGCGTCAAAAGTTCTCTGTAGTCTTCGTTTTTCCGATTCAGAATATGTATTAATATGGTAATGATTTTTTCAATAGTTTTGGAAATATCTGGAGTTTAGTTATTCAGGGCCGGTTTCTCAATACAAAGTCAACTCTGGGTTAAGCACAAATTCGGGGTAAACATTGCAACTGTACACGTTTACCCTGGAGTTAAAACCAACCAGGAGGCGACTCGCTATTGGGAAACCAGCCCTCAAAGACCTATTATTCAGAATCAGTTTTTTGACTATATTTCACCTTGATTTACCTGTCGCAAAACATTCTGAAACCTGAATAACGTAAATAGGTCTTTGAATAACTAAACTCCAGATATTTCCAAAACTATTGAAAAAAACAATAACATATTATACATATTCTGAATCGGAAAAACGAGAACTTTGAGAATTTGAAAAAAAATAATGGACAATCCAATTTCAAAAAAGTGAACATCGACATATTTTTCTACTTCCCGTTTCTCATTTCTTCAATCTAATTGAAAATTCTGGCGGTTCAGATAAACTGCAACTTTTGTATTCACACCTTTTTCCTATCACCTGTAATTACGGCTGCAGGTGGGTGACTCATTCTGTACATTGATATAAGTAATTTGTGTTTTTATGGTCCAAAAATCCTCACAGAATCATGAAACTTATTGAGAAATTGATAAAAACTCCGGCTGTTCTATCACTCCTAACAACTATGTATTATAATTTTTATTTTGAACATCATCCTGTACCCTTTCATTCACTTTTACCTTTTTTCTAAACAGTTTTTATCGGTTCTGGGTCCAAATAGCGCCGGTCATAGCCGCCCGTGTCATAATAGCGCTGGGTCGAGATAGCGCCAGGTCAAAATAGAGCTGGTCGAAATAGCGCCAGGTTCGAGGCCAGGTTATAATAGCGCCAGGTCAAAATGGCGTCTGGTCATGATAACGCATAATAACTAAACGGGTTATTATCGGTAAGTTTGGTAACTATCGAGTCAATGTTTATGCATACTAGACTTAGAGCGCTCTTTTGTTACAGCGCCCTTTTGTTACCGTGCTCTTTTGTGCAGCGCTCTTTAGTTTTGGCGCTCCTTAAATACAGACTGGTTATTTTAGGGAAGCTATTTTGACCACATTTTCATCAATTTTCTTAAGTCAAAAAGTTGCAAAATTCTGTCCATTTTTGGACCGGCCATAGTAAGTTTTTCACAAATGTATTAGGTAGGTAATTGGATTGTTAAATATTTTAGTTGTTTTCGAAGAAGCAATAAATATGATGTATTGTGAAAGCTTTTTCAGGAAAAATAATTTTCTGAGTATAAACATTGGCGGTATTCCCACCATTTAAGTAATCATTTATCGTCCCACTGCTAATCTCATAAAAACCTAATACAATTTCAACCTAAAAGTCACATTTCTACACACATATTCACGACCGAGCTGGGGAAAAGGTAGTTGGTACGTTACGTTATTGCGCGCCCATTTTTATTTTAATGATGCCGCAAAATTAAAAAAAATGTTATTATAGTGTTACAACAAATCAGTAGTCAGTACAAGTAATAAAAGGTGGTGTTAAATCAAGGAACCAGCAGTCTTGTTTTTAATAAATAATATACAGTCCACTCAATCAACTAATAAGTTTCATAGCGAATAAATAAATATTCCCAAGTCCGACCCCAGCCCAAGTAAATAGTACACACACCACGACAATCTTTCTAATAAAGTAGCACTTTATTTTACTAGTACTTTATTGCCTACCTGGACTAGGTACCTGATAACCTCCCAAGGTGAAACAGGTCCTGACTTTTTTCAATTTTTAACAAAAACTAGTCACAATCGTAAATAAAATCATGTATATAACAGGCTTTATTGACTCATTATTTGATTTTTTTAAAATTATTCGTACAATAAAGCCTTAGTTTATGCACTTGTTATATAAATAGCTATGTAATTATAGTAATTATTCCAGTGACCTTCAGAGGCTGTTTAGGATCAGCCTGTTTTAATAGAAACAGGCAAACTTAATTTTTGAAATAAGTTGAAAATAAGAAAAAACGACTCACGATAAAGATTTAAAAAAAATGGGTAATGGCAAGGTCTCACCTCTGTGTCCTGGATTCTAGCTTACCCGGCCGGGGTTTCTTGATGCTCCCAAAAATGAGCTTCCGGATAATATTATTGAGCGAAAGTACATCCGATAACCGAAATCATTGAGATCGATTGTTCTCAACGTGTCACTAAAAAAACGCGGAAGTAAAAAACCGTGACGCTCGTCGACTGGAGCTGTACTTTTTAACACTGTCGTAGGTTTCGTATCTCCATCGTGAGGTATAGCGCGCAAAACCCCACAAAAATGTATATGTTTATAAAAACTCAACGCTCGATTCTTGACTCTGTGATGGAGTCCTATTAATATCGATAAATAAGAATTACCCAATTCTGAACATTCCGCCCACCAAAAATAATAACTTATTTTTCCTTTCTGTCCGCAACAATACACTACAACGGCCATTATGTATAACATTGAGCGTACCTATAATAAGCCCCCCCCCCCCAAAAAAAAAAAAATCCTATAAGTATAATTAATAATTAAGGTCGATACCTGAAATAACCAGGTACGATACCCACGTAATAAAGAAACAAAAAAAATTGACAGGTAATAATAACAATAATAATAGCTAAGTCCCTAATAATAATAATAAAAAAAAAAAAAAAAATACTTAATATTAAATCCTATAGGGCCAATTATTCTATGGGCAAGGCACACAACTTAACTAAGGGCCTATCCATAAAACCTTTAGCCGTACGGACTTGCACAATTCGCACGACATTATCGCGACTGAGATACAACTTAGTAATGCGCCCAAGAATCCATTGTAAGGGGGGCGAATTTTCATCCTTAATTAGGACCAGAGTGCCGACTGTAGGAGCCTTTTCCTCTCGGTTCCACTTATGCCTCTGCTGAAGAGTGTGCAAGTACTCCACTGACCACCTCTGCCAAAAATGTTGATGCATGTGTTGGAGTAATTGCCATCTAGTAAGCCTAGGGTTGCCACCTTTTGATTTCCGAAAACCCGTACATAATCGAAGCTAACTTTTTTTTGTGGCATAATTTACACTCATATCTGTAATAGTATATTACATTACGAGTGTAGAAAGTGACAAATTTCACACGAGTGTTTTTTCGCGCGAGGCGGTAGCCGAGTGCGAAAGTCACACGAGTGTATGAAAGACGCTTTCTCACAAGTGATGTACACCATTTTTCCTACGACCAGAATCCGATTTACACCACTTTTCTCCTATTTTATTTCTCTTCATTTTCAACATACGTGTTGAAAGTACTTTCAATCCACGTATTGAAAGTAAATTGGGATGTCAATCACAAGTAATGTCAACAGTATTTTCCACACGCGTGCGGAAAGTACTTTTAGCAAGCGTATTGAAAGTACTTTCAGCATGTGTGTGATATTTGGCGCTTTCCAAAGAACCAGCTAGTGCGGATTTTGTCATTTTCGTATGTGGTCGTAGGAAAAATGAATTTTTAGACAAAAATTAAAAAAGGTACCTACCTACCTAATTTTAGACGCCACCTTTTGTAGTTACTGTCTATTAAAAATAAAAAAAAAACAGAGACACTTGTAAGTAAACAGGGAGAACGACACAATATATACGTCATAATTAGGGACTTGTTTTATTAGGCAGACAAGCACAATTTCACGCATAATCCACTTTTTTATATTTATCAATTGCGCTGATAACGTTTGTTGAATGGTTAGCAACGAACTTTTCTGCCTAGCCATATTCCCGGACATTCTCATCATGCGTCCGGACTCCGGACAAACCTTCAAAAAACCGGACAGTCCGGGTGAAAACCGGACAGGTGGCAACCCTAAGTAAGCCTGTTACTATTAATTGATGTGAGGTTTTCATCCGGAGGAGCCGTTAAAGGCTCCAGGGTTAGAAAATGTCCTGGGGTAAGACAAGTAAGGTCGTTGGGATCGGAACTCAGTCTACATAAGGGTCTTGAATTCAAGACGGATTCGATTTGTACAACAACGGTAGATAGCTCCTCGAATGTAAGCACCTGCGTACCTACAACGCGTCGCAAATGATTCTTTACTGACTTCACCGCCGCTTCCCATAATCCCCCAAAGTGAGGCGAAGCCGGAGGATTGAAATGCCACTTAATAGCGAGGCATTGCGAAGACTGTTTTGAATATTGCTCCAATAAATTATTTGCGCCCACAAAATTTGTACTCTGATCGCTATAAAGGTCAGAGCAAGCGCCTCTACGACCGACAAATCTTCAAAGAGCCGCCAGAAATGCTACCGAAGATAAGTCCGAAACAACCTCCAAATGCATAGCCTTGGTGGCTAGGCAAACAAATACGCAAATATAACCCTTCTGACTGCAAATCCCGCGTCGCCTTCCCAGAGTTATTTGCACCGGACCCATAAAATCTAT